CAGTCTCCTAGTTTCTAGCCTGGTGCCTTGATCACTAGTCCAAACTGTTTGGTTTGGCCTAGGTATCCTTCTGTTTGGTGGAATTTTGATTCAAAGAGTATGAGAGGTGACAACACATTTGAGAGGCACAAAGCAGTTTTACACTGGACAAGACGTGTGACCCAGACATTTGACTTACAACAAGTCACTGAGAAATATATGAATGTGTGAAAAAATATTTATTGCATATTTCTTGATTTAGGGAAAGTGTACAATAAAGTAAATGGACTTGAATTATGGAATGTTTTGCACCAATATGGTGTTGAAAGTCATCTGTTGAATACAGTTAAGGATTCATGAGAAAAATTAGAATACTTACTAAATGGTTCAACAGAGAACAGGGAGTAAGAGAAGGATGTGTGATGTTTCTTGCTGCTTACTGTAGTTATGGATGAATGTATAAAGAATGCTTTATGGTTGGGAACATGAACGTGTATGTGCTTTTGTATATAGATGATGCCTTGTTGGATGAGAACATGAACGATTTGTAGCAAGTGTTAGATCGTACAATGCAACAAGTAGTAAGGTTCTGAAAATTAAAGTACTGAAGATCAAGGTAACTATGTTTTATACAAGAAATAAAGTGAATGTCTGCAAGTTAAACAAATTACTACAATGAGATTAATATTTACTAAAGATGGGGAAATGGATGGAGAAAAAGGAGAGAAGTAGCTAGGAGAGAAGTAGTGGATAACATGACATCTATTTAAAAGAATGAATATTTGTGAAAGAAGTTAAAATGGCTGCATGTAAGAATGTCCTTCTGTCAACTTTATTTTATAGAATTAAGAGTTGAGTAAGTAATCAGAAACATAAAAAGAGAATGCAATGGAAATGAATTATTTAAGTGTATGTAGTAGAACAACAATAGATAGGATCAAGAATGAATGAGGCCTGAGTTGAAAAACAAATATATGAAGGAAGAGTAAAGGGTTATTAGAGGACAAAGAAACTTACATCCCTGTTAACACCAACCCAATACAGAAACTAGACAACCTAATCAAGAGAACTCTCAACGACCTAACTAAGAAAGGCCAGATCACGAAGGAAGAACAATGGCGGATGAAAAGCAGTGGACCCATCCTCCCACGCTTCCATGGACGATTAAAAATACAGAAGCCTGACATACTGCTCTGACCAATTG